ATCCAGAGAGGGCGCACGCCGGCTGTGGGACACGGGGCAGGCCGCAGCCTCTCTGGCCTTAGATGCAGATGACCCTACCTGGCACTTGGCGTTCTCCACCTCGGCCGTCAGCCTCTGGATCATGCGGTTGAGCTCGTTGATCTCCTCCTTGGTGCGGCGCAGGGTCTCCCCGTGCCTGATCACCGTGGCCTTCATCTCCTCGCACTGGGGGAGGCAGGGACGCTCATGAGGCTCATGGGGGGAGGAAATCTCGTCCACTCAGGATAGCACAGGTTGGGCAGTGCTCAGCCTGTGCAACCATACATCAGGCCTGCTCTGCCACCCCACCTCAGAGAGGCGGTCCTTCTCTTACCGTCCTTAGGGATCGGAACCCCCAGGCAAAGACACGTCTTCTAACGGGTCCCTCGCACCCCTCCCGCTGCCACGTCTTGGCGACAGGTGTCCTGTGCCACTCACCTTGCTGCGGTACCAGGACTCAGCCTCAGCCCGACTGCGGGTGGCGATGTCGTCGTACTGAGCCTTAATCTCGGCGATGACGCAGTCCATGTTCAGCTCGCGGCTGTTGTCCATCTTGACGACGACCGAGGTGTCGGAGATGTGGGCGTGGAGCACACGGATCTCCTGCAGGGGGCAGAGGAGGGACAGCTCAGTTATCTGGGCTTTTCCTCACGCCCCGATGCCTGGAATCCCTTGGGCCCACCTGGAGCCAGCCTCTCATGTTGGGAGAAGCAAGCCTGGTGGAGTTGCACAGCTTCCTGTACACATAAAGAATCCCTTCTAAAGGAAAACACAGTCACTTCTCACGTGCCTGCTTCTGGAGGCACTCAGGCCCAAGTGAACCCAGGCTGCTTCCCGGAAGAAGCCAGAATGTTCCAGATGCTTCCCAGGGACCCAGACACAGCGTTGGGGCCTCTTCACATTCTCCTAGACCAGCCCCATAAAGGGAGGCTATTGGCTGCCTGAGAAAATCCTTGACCAGAGAGTTGGGTTCGAGACTGAGGCTGATGTGGCCTCTGTTGCCACCCAGTTTCTCCGAGGAGGGACACAGGGCAGCTCCCAAGGCCCAGCGCTTATTCTGGAACACTCATTCTCCTGCCTTTTACTCCGTTTGTTCATTTCTGGTCTCCTCTTTCTCCGCCTCCTTGCCCCCTCCCCCTTCGTGTTTCCTTCCAGCCTCCGGCCCGTGTTCACATCAGCAGGCCGGGTCATGCCTGTGCGGGTCTGGATGCGGACGCGGGATGGGAGCGTCTGCGCCCACCGTGGCCGAGAGGCCCCTCACCTCCTCATACAGCCGCCTCAGGAAGTCGATCTCCTGCGTCAGGGCCTCCACATTGGCCTCCAGGTCCGACTTGCGCAGGTAGGCACAGTCCACGTCCTGTGTGGGGTAGCAAGGGGCCATGAGGAGACTCTCCTCAGAGGGCTCTGAGGGCCTGGCTACGTGTGGCTGGGCGGAGGGGACAGGGTGGCTGGGACTGGGAGTAGGCGGGTCTTGGCAGGCTGGGTTCCACTCACCTTCTTTAGAACCACAAACTCGTTCTCGGCTGTTGCCCGAAGTGCAACTTCCTCTTCATACCTGAGGGAAAAGGGATACAGGACCTTGTCTGAATGGCTCCTGACCTTGACTGTGAGCTCACGTGGAGACGAGCCTGCTTCCTAGGCCTCTGCCTGCTCACCCCCTGCCCTTAAAAGGAAGGGCCGGGACTAGGGAGGTGTCAGGATGCAGGCCCCGGACTACAGGGGATGCCCTGGAGGACTGGAGCACCCACCCCTGCTTTGTGGCAGAGGCAAGAGGGTAGGATCTGGAAGCAGGGTGTGTGAGGCCAGGTGTCATTGTCTGTGTGGAAATGAACAGATCGACCATTTTAGAAAGGCGGAATGTAAAATTGGAAAAATAAAGTGTGTGCCAATTATTCACACGCCACAACAAAAATCCAGGTAGAATACCAGTCACCTGGGATGTTAGTGCAGGAATGAATGCCCTGTGCTCAAGCCCCTCATTTTACAGAAGAGGAACTGGAGACCAGAGAGGTTGCCCAGCTGCCTGAGCCCTTACAATGGAAGAGGAAGCACTCCAGCTATGGTCTTCTGCCTCACAGGGGGTGTCCTTTCACGAGGGTGATTCCAGACCAGGGGTCCCCAATCTCTGGGCCACTGACTGGTGGTCTATTAGGAACTGGGCTGCACAGCAGAAGGTGAGTGGTGAGCAAATGAGTGAAGCTTCATCTGTATTTACAGCTGCTCCTCATCACCTGTATCACTGCCTGAGCTCTGCCTCTGTCAGATCAATGGTGGCATTAGATTCTCATAGGAGTGTAAACCCTTTTGTGAACTGCGCATGTGAGGGATCTAGGTTGTACGCTCCTTATGAGAATCTAATGCCTGATGATCTGAGGTGGAACTCAGATGGTGATGCTAGCACCAGGGAGTGGCTGCAAATACAGACTAACATTAGCAGTGACATGTGACTGCACTGCACATCCCCCCCCCCCCGTCTGTGGAGAAATTGTCTTCTATGGAACTGGTTCCTAATGTCAAAAAGGTTGGGGAACTGAACTGCTGTTCTAGATTACTGGGCCCCAAGAAAAATGTCCCATCCATGTCCCTGCCATGAGTTTGTGAGGTTGCCCACTACCCACTTGGATTCCTTTGTGTAATATCTTGGCCACATCTCTGGTGTGTGTGTGTGTGTGTGTGTGTGTATGTGTGTGGTGGTGGTGGCAGCACACGTCTGCTTCTCTCACCTGGGTCTCTATCCTTTTTGTCTCTGAGTCCTCCCCAGCCCCACTTGGCTGCAGGTGGCAGGATCCTGTCTCTGTCGCTCCAACCAACCCCTTCTGCTCTGTGGGAGGCAGCTTAAAGACCCAGAAGGAGGGACAAGGAGATCCTGGGAAGGCCACGTGAGAACGCCCTGAAGGCAAGTGGCCTCTCCTCACAAGCAGACTCCCTTGAGTCCCCATATTCTCCAGCTCACATGCCACACCTTGGATTGGAAGGACTGGAACTGTGACTTGCAGGCCCTGCAAGGAAGGGACTCTGTGCACTGCTTGGCTCTGCGGTGTGAGCACCCAACCCAGTGTCTGGCTGGCCCCTGGTAGTGCTAGGTGAGCACCAGTTGAGGAAAAGAATAAATTTAAGAATGTCCATGCTGGGCACGGTGGCTCATGCCTGTAATCCCAGCACTTTGGGAAGCCGAGGGGAGAGGACTGCCTGAGCCCAGGAGTTCAAGATCAGCTTGGGCAACTTGGCAACTAGCCAGGTGTGGTGGCACACGCCTGTAGTTCTGGCTTCTTGGAAGGCTGAGGTGGAAGGATTGTCTGAGTCCAGCAGGTCAAGGCTGCAGTGGCTGTGAGCGTGCCACTGCACTCCAGCCTGGGCAACAGAGTGAGGCCCTGACTCCAAAAAAAAAAAGGGTCCAGGACCCTGAGGGCTGGTCGCAGAGGGACCAGGATGGATTCTTCTGAAGGGTGGATGGAGAAAAGGAGAGGTTGCCATTTCTCGAAACTACTGGTGGGGAGACAAGGTGAGCCTCCATCCCCCAGAGGTCCAGGACTCACCCAAGGACCCCTGATCCCCGAGGAAGGACAGGGGGTGCGGGTTCCCTCTGCTCTCAGGCAGGGAGCCCACCCACAGACTGGCCATTCCCTGGGCCCAGGGAACATCCACCAAGCCCCCCAGGCCCAGCACCCCGCCCCACACTCACTTCTTCTTGTAGCCCTCCAGCACCTCCTGCACGTGGTTGAGCTCCGAGGCCAGCCTCCCGCTGTCAGCCTCCACACACTCGGCCTCCCTCCGCAGCGTCTCGATGTAGCCCTCGAACAGTGGCTCCAGGTTGCTCTCGCAGCACTGGCGGTTCTGGTAGAACTGCCACTTGGTCTCCAGCAGCTTGTTCTGCTGCTCCAGGAAGCGCACCTGCCATGCAGAGGCAGAGCCTGAGAATCTCCTCTTGCAGGACCAGAAGGCAAGCGGGAGACCCCAGCACCAGGGACTGCAAGCCCCCAACACTCTGACCCAGAGTCCTCCTTGGTGGGGGCTATGCCACCTCGCTCAAAAACCACATCAGGGCTTGATCAGTTCACCACCTGGAAGTCCTTCCTGAGTGCTAACCTCAATCTCTTTGAAAGCAATTTACCTGGTGCCATGGAAACCACTTGCTAACAACATGCCCTTGGACAGGCGCATTCTCCCTCTGCAGAGTGGGAGGTTTAAGTTCACCTCACTGTGAGGATTAAATGAGCCCTGGTGCAGAAAGACACCTCTATACTGAACAGCAACTGCACCAGGCCTGGTGCCATTGTGCGTGTGCGAATGAACAGGGACCTTTTTAGAAAGGCAGACTATAAAATTGGAAAAATAAAGCATGTGCCAATGACTCAAACCCCACAACGACAATGCAGTTAGAATACTAGTCGCCCGGGATGTTAGTGCAGGAATGCCCTGTGCTCAAGCCCCTTATTTTACTGAAGAGGAATTGGAGGCCAGAGAGGTAACCTGGCTGCCTGATCCCTCACAGTGGCAGAGGAAGAGCTCCAGCTCTTATCTTCTGCCTCACAGGGGTTTTCCTCTCACTAGGGTAATTCTAGACTATTGGGCTCCAGGGAAAATGTCCCATCCATCTCCCTGCCTGGGGTTGGCCCACTACCTCACTCAGATTCCTTTGTCTAATAACTTGGCCATATCTCTGGTAATGCTTTCTTATGCTAGTCTTGGTTCTCATGTTGTTAGGAGTTCCAGATTTTCTGGCCCTTTGGGGTGGGTGTCTCTCTAGGTGACTTCTCCTTTGAGATTGACTTTGAAGAGCCATTTCCAGCCCTGGAACTGCTTTCTAGCTGGAAACATTTCTCCACGGCCCTCATGCCACTGCTACATGGTGGTTACCTGGATTCAGAGAAGGGGGCTGCAGACTTGGGCTGTTTGCTGCCTCTGCAAATGGCTTCAGTTGAGTCCAGACCATGTACTGCCTGACTCCCATAAGACCCACGAGGATGCAGACTGTTCTATTGCTCACCCTGGACCCTGAGCCCAAGCAGAGTGTCTTGGACAAACCACTCTGTCCCCCATTCAGTAGCCAAGTCACCAGTGGTGTAGAAACAGCTCTGTGCAGAGCTGAGATCACCTCCAGGTGGACCTCTGGGATCTACTTACTAGCCCTGTCTTGACACAGAGAGCACTCCCTTGGCATGTAGCCGTTATCTGCCTTCAAACACACAGAGCACCCACACGGTGGCCCTTTGCTCATGAGACGACATCACGTCTCGGGACTAAAGTCTCTGCCCCTCATTCTGCTTATAGTTTATGGCTTGTCTCCGCCATCAGAATGGCAACTCCCGATCCTGCTCTTGCCTTTATGTCTCTCTGTGTCTTAGAAACATGACGACCTTTCCCTTGACCTGGGAGCTCCCATGGGCAAGTCCTTGCTGCTGACCCTCCTGTCAGTGACCAGCCTGAGTCCTGCACATGGGCAGGGAAGGGATCAGGACGGGCGGGATCCAGGACACCCACCTTGTCGATGAAGGCGGCGAACCTGCTGTTGAGACACTTGATCTGCTCCTTCTCCTCGTGCTTGACGCACTGCGCGTTGGGGTCGATCTCCAGGTTGAGGGGCGTGAGGAGGCTCTCGTTGACCGACACGGTGGTGATGCAGGGGGGGCTGGGCCCGCACACGCCGCCGGAGCGGTAGCCGAAGCTGCGCCCGCAGGAGCCGGCGCGGAAGCCCCCGCAGACGCTGTGGCTGCCGAAGCCCCCGGGGAGGCCGCGGTAGCAGGGGATGCCGCGGTAGGGGGCGGCCGTGATGCAGCAGCGGCCGGGCCGGGGCCCGCAGGCTGAGGCGCAGGTCATGGAGCTGAAGCCACAGGTCATGATAGAGGCAGGGAAGTGTCTGAACAGTGGCGAGGTTGGCAGAGGATGGAGCCCAGGGCCTGTGCTCCCGGCCTGTGGCAGGCCCTTTTATGTGCTGGGGCAGCTGGTGTTAAAAGGGGTGGGGGAGAGGCAATAGCTGCGTTTTATTGGCTTGGCATCACCCCGGCCTCTTAAGCTGGAACCCCGCTTGCCTCTCCGGTGTGACTGTGTCAACAACCCCTGGTCACCGGCCCTGTTTCATCTTCAAAGTGGTTTACAAGCTTCCTCACAGCCTCTGCTCCTCCCATGGGCACTGGAGCGGACAGAGGGGCTTCTGAAAGCATTGGTCAGACTCCACGCTCCGAGTGCGCGGAATGGGTACAGTGACTTGGGGTGGAGCTTGCTCTTGGGACCCTCTTCTGACCTGTGGGTCCTGGATCTATGGCCTGCCCCTGGGGTGGAATGGCTGGCCTTCCCCAAGGCAGGGGCGGCCTCCAGACAACCACTTGTTCTAGCCCTCCCAGACCTTCCCACTGTCTCGAAGCCATTGTCAAGGTCAAACTCTCCTGTCCCGTGCCCAGGCTCTGGGCAGGGATGGGGGTGAGGGTGGAGATGTGGGAGGTGGCACGGTCTCTGTATTTTGGGTAGTCCTGGTGCAGGGACACCAGCTGAGACAAGGGAGAAACTGAGTCAGAGAGTTCAGGACAGAACCGGGGCCATTCTTCAGAGTCTGGCATTGTTGCTGGTTGGAACAGGGCCGGGAGTGTGAAATGTCCACAACTTCAGGGACTAAGCAGGGCGGGCTTCTGGGAGGAGGGTGGGAGCTGGGTTGGAGGAGGATTGGGGTAAAGGGACACAGAGTTGAGAAGTGGCCAGAGAGGAGCCCAGCTCTGATTTGCAGACCAGATTCTGTGTATTCATTCATTCATTCATTCATTCGTTCAGGAAGAACTTATTGAGTGCCCACCAATTTTGCATGAGTCACTGTGCTAGGCTCTGGGAACTCAGCAGGGGTTCAGGGGTTTAGGAGGCAGGAGGGGTGATATGTGCATGGGGGCTAGTGTTTGGCCAGCAGGCAAGGCGGAGAGAATCTGCGGGGGAGCAGGAAGGCCCCACTGAGGCACTGGGGTCTGACAGGTGTCTTTTCGGTTCCCAGCAGGGCAGCTCCACAGAGGAGTCTTGGTGTGTGTGCACACACCAAGGAAGAATGAGGGGTGCTATAGAGGAGGGGGTGTCAGCGGAGTCTTAAAACGGGAACACTTCCTCACCTCAGTGAGTGACAGAGGGCTGGGAACTCATGCAGCCATCCCTAAAGCCAAGCTCCCTCTTCTAAGTTGTCTCCTCATCCCTTTGGGCTAGGACAGGCAATGGCTTTGATGGCTGCATAGCCAGTGGAGCCTGCAGGTCTTCTCTAATCCTAGGACCTGAGCCCATAAACACTTCCAGGCGCACATCTCACAGCTGGCTGTCTTTGTATCTAAGGGTGACCTGTCTCCTGATCCAGCCATGACCAGTGACCCAGTCTGTGCTAAAAATAACCCTCCCTGCATCCTCCTGGGGCCCTGGCCTCTGCACCCCCCAATCCCTCTCAGGGTGAGCAGGCCAATGAGACCCAGAGTGGGAGTTTGGGATGACAGAGAGGAGCTCGTCTTTTGGGGGCCTGAGGAAGGGCAGGTGACGGTGCTGTTGAAACCCATCAGGGAGCTGGACACCTTCAGCGGATCCCAAGAAAGGGACTCACCTACCCCTCCTTTCGTGCCCTTTGATAGACTTCTGCAGAGTCGTGTGTCTGGGGTAAGAACACTGGGGGTATTGGTATGGGATAGGGGCCTCTGGTGTGAGAGACACACCAGCGGGGCAGCCTTGGAGCTCAGGAGTGGCTGATTGCAGCTGAGTGGCTGGTGGAATTTTTGGAGCTCACGTAAGGGAGGCTGGGCTGGCTAGGGCTTTTGTGCTAAGCCTTTGCTGGGTCAGACATCTGCCTGACAGCCAAGAAAGAACCAAGTTTCCTCTCCTCTTGTCTACACCACCCTGGAGCCGGGGAGCATCTGGAAGTTTCTCCAAACATATCCCATGATAATGTGGGACTTACTTCACAGCAGAGACCTCTCCAGAAAGCATCTGTCCATCACCGTCCTATTAACCTGGCTCTGCTATCTCAACCCAGTGGGATTGGGATCCAGTTGGACCCCTTCCTTGAGGGGCTCCGTGTAGACACATGACCCCCTTGAGGTTGAGAGAACATGGCAGTGGCCGCCCCTGTCTTGATTGGAGCTGTGGACCCAACGATAACAAGCCATGGTTTGAAGCCCAGCTATGCCCTTGACTAGCTTTGTGTCGTGACACAGGTGTGTCTCCCAGGTTCCTTACTTGTGAGTATGCAGGGCCATCCCTACCCTGCTGGGGGTTGGGAAGATGGGTGGGAGAGCTGGTGGAGGAAGTGCTGCCCTGCCCCCCTCCATGCCTACAGGGTGACTGGTCTGGGTCAGGGGCAGCTGGCCAGCCTCACAAAGGGACAAGGTATATAGCCCCTGGGTAAGCAGAAAATAGCTTCCCAAGGCAGTCATTGGCCACCTCAGAAAGTCCTAATTAGAGCATCCATGTGTAAATGGCTCAGAACAAAGGGAATTGAAGACCAGGAGCCCCATGAAAACAGACTTAGGAAGATGACAAAGGGACAGCCGTGGCCTGACCCCTGTCCGGCTGCTTTCTTGCCCTGACCATGGGCCTATAAAGGGTCTGGCTAAGCCATGGGTGGTTCAGTTGATAAGGCCTGTGCTATGTGTCTGCCCATCACACACCAGCCTGGGTTGTCCTCAGGGATGATGACTTACACTGTTGATCTGTCCTCGGATTCCTACCTATACTGCCAGGGTTGCCACCACTGCCTGGCCTTTTCCCAAGTCCTGTGTTTTTCTGGTGACTCCCTGCCTGTCTGCCTGGCATCTGGCCCATGGATGCTCTGACTTTTGTCTTTTCTTCCTGCCTTGACATCCACTGGCCTTCAAATCTTCTGTGTCTCCTTCATGGATTTTTGCTAAACAACTTTGTGATGCACATTAGTAAATACATCTTTGTGCACGACTCTACTAACTTCCTCATAACAAATTCCTAGAGGTGGGTTGTCGGGCTGAAGGGGACTGTCGTGGGTCTCTCCAGGTGTTCCTGATCCCAGGTCTGTGACCCACCTGGCTGTGGAGGTGGTGTTCCCAAGTGGAGGCGGCCAGTAGGTGAGTCGGATCCCAGGAGTCAGGAGGCGTGGACGCAGATCCCACTTCTGACACCGCATGTGTCAGGCTGGTGAATCTCTGTACACTGTGTTTCCTCATCTGGAAAATGTGGATTTAATATTGGCCTCCTGGGCCTCTGTGAAGATGAATCGGGTGCTGAAGAGGAAGCCTGTAGAAGGCATCTGATCGATCGGAGATGGCGGAACATATCCCTGGCTTCCCACTGCAGGGAGGGGGTGCTGCTCTGCCTTTGTTCTACCAACCTCCACCCCTCTGGCTTTGCCTTCTGGCCTTGAACTCACTAGCTTGGAGCTGATGGACTGTGGCACTTGCACGCACTCCACTACTGTTTCCTGCACAGGTACGGAGAGGAGCTTACTACATGGACTTTGTCCTCAAGGTCTCAACTGTGTAGTTGGGTAGATTTGTAAATATGAGCAAGTTAACATAGTCCAGATAAAGTTCTTCAAGGCAGTCCCGGATTTTCTGTCAACGGACTGATGGGCGATCGACATCTTGTCTCCGGAGACAAGAGGCTTTGTAAAAAAAAAAAAAAAAAGTCAAACTTAAGCTGGGCTTTGGAGGAAAAGGGGTGTTTGCAGGGCAGTGGATACACTGGCTGGAGCTTAGGGGACATCATAGTTAAAGAACAAACTTTGGGCACGTGACAATGAAGACTGAGAGACATGACAAGGGCTTCCACTCTTGAGGCCATGTGGCAACATCCTGGAACTCCAGGTCAAGAAAAGAAATATGTATCGGTATTGAAAGAGAAGAGGCAGAACTGGTGTTATTTTCAGACAATGGGATCAGCTCTACAGAAAACCCAACACAATCAGTGGATAGACTATAAAACTAACAGGAGAGGCTGAGCAGTGCTGCTAGCCACAAGGCCAACTTACAAAATCAAGAGAGCCTTTCTAGATCAGTGACAATCAGTTAGAAAATCAATAGAAAATAAGATGCCACTCCTAACAGCAATAAAAACAATGAAGTAATTACAGTGTGACTGTATAAATTGTTCACGAGACATTCGGGGAGAACAGTGTAAAACTCTGTCATGAAAAAGCATATATGAAATTCTGATTAAATTGAATTATACCATATTCGGGAATACTTTAACCTAACATTCTAAAGGTATAGATACTCTCTAAATTAATGTTTAAGTTCAATGTAAAACCAACAAAAATTCCGGCTGGATTGGCTTTGAGGAAGTTGATAAAATCAATTTTTGGTGAAAGAGTAAAGTTCATTTATAGTAAAGTCAGTTATGAAAAAGGAAAGCAAAAAGGTGTCTGGGAACTAGGGAGCCACAGCGGTAAAAAGTATAATGCGTGTGCAGGGACAAGCAGATGGACTCACGGAACAGAAGGGTGAGCTCACGGCAGGACCCCTTCCTGTCAGGAAAATGTATCGCTTATTCAGTTGGTGAGATTTGTACAGACAGGCTTACCACAGGAAAGGCAGAGCTAGGGACCAGTTTATATCAGATACCCTGGCAGGCCCCAGATGAAGTAAAGGCTGGATATGCAAGAGGAAGCTAAAAAGTAAGCAGAAGAATATGCAAGAGGATAACCTTGTCACTTAGGGCTTGGGAGAGACTTCTTAAGGAAATCCTAAAAATCAAAACCAAAAGGTGAAAAAATAATTGACACAGCCACATTAAAATTAAGAATTCCAGTTCAGTGGAAGACTACATAGAATGCAATTTCTTTTTTTTTTTTTATGAGTTGGAGTCTCACTCTGTCACCCAGACTGGAGTGCAGGGGCACGCTCCTGGCCACCGCAGCCTTGCCCTGCTGGGCTCAGGCGATCCTCCAACCTCAGACTTCCAAGTAGCTGCAACCA